CAAAGAGGGCATCAAGTAGAATTGCCGTCAATCTCAACGCCAAAGATAGAGGTCGGAGGCTAGGGTTTTTTCTTACTTTTTTCTCACCGCGACTCGAACAATCTTGAAACGAGTACAACTGTCACAATATCAATGAACGGAAGATTCTATCGTATAAAAATATCGAGTATCGTTAATCAAGTAGGTGTTTAGGTACAATATATATAATCCTAGCCTCTGTGTTTATCTTCTCTATAGAAAGTTACATAATAACAATAATAACGTAGAATAAAGAAATTAAAACAAGGTCAACCATCTTGGTGCACGGCCTCTAGCTGCTGTGTCTTAGGCCATTTGGTTGCATCTTCCAAGCACAATTATCTGCATGGAGATCTCTATTATCAACCTGCAGGCACTAAAATATTTGGCGGACTTAATTAACTTCAAGAATTAGTTCAACACTTCGGTCAACGACGTATTTCCAGCAATTTTGTCCTTGTTATTTTAATTTAATTTCCGGAAGTAAAGGGTACTCCAGTAATTCAAATTTCTAAGTGAAAAATTGTTTAAGCACTGAATTACTATATGTATCTAGTAAGGTAAGTAGCTTGTTAGGTACATGCCGGCATGGTACCTAACTGTGTACCTATCTCGAAGCGAAATTGCATTCCATCTGCAACCAGGGCAAGAAATATTCATCATCTAATTTGATGCATGCATCCTAATTCCTACATTATATATAGACACACATACGTGTGTGTGTGTGTGTGTTACATTATATTTAATATAGTACGATGCTTGAAAATATTTTAAAAAATCAAAATCACAATAATACGTGTTCTCAAGTAATTATATATTATATTTAATATTGTACAACGCCATTGTATTTTTATTGGTGGTTTTTGTCAACGGATTGATTATCGCAACTCTTTTTTTTGTAGAATTATTTGCAATTATTATTGATGTAAAGTTTGCATGTCAGTCGAGTTGACATTGTCTTTGGTTGGAAAGCGACATTTCTAGTGTTATTTCTGCTTTTCAATTATCTGATTTTGATCCTCTTTGACCTTTTTGTGCACAATGGTCTATTTGTTGGGACCGCATTCGGAAAATGACTTTCTACGCATCTTACATATATCGGGAAGGAAATTTTGTTGTAGACAATTTTGCTAACATGAGTTTGACTTCTCCAACTTTAACTTGGCATGATTCTCCTCCGTCGACGGCTCGTGCTGCTTTATTTTCGAACTATGTTGGCTTGCCTGACTACTGCTTCTCAAATTAATGTGTATCTTGGCATCCAAAACCTCCATCTAGATTTGAGGCTGGAACGCCAGCAATTGGTGAAGCAACTGGGTTGGGAGCAGCTATTAATTATTCGTCAGGACTTGGTATGCAAAGGATACATGATTATGAGATGTTTCTTGCTAAATATATATACGAGAGCCTTCAATCTGTCCCCAATGTTCGTATTTATGGTCCATCCCCCTCAGAGCACGTCTTTCGGGCGGCTCTTTGTTCTTTCAACGTAGAGAACATACACCCTACAGATTGAAGGCTCTGTATATAGGAGTCGGTGCGATCAGGTCACCATTGTACTCATCCCCTTCATCGGCATTTAGGAGTCGGTGCGAGTGCACATGTGAGTCTTCACTTGTACAACACAGTCAGCTTCTTTAATCTTTTCAAATAGAGAATTGTACTCTTGCCACCTACCGTAAATTTTGTATCATGTATTCTACTTACTCTCTAAGCTTATATGGTCGAGTACCGTTTGTGAGCCACCAAAAAAAAAAAAAAAAACTACTTTAAATTTCTTTTGTTTAGTAACAACAATTTATTCATTTTGTGGGGATCCTAGGGATCCCCACATCCTAACCATTCATCATACATCGTGTAGACATTTTTTATTAGATACTATTTCTGTTTAGTTTTAAATAAAAAAGTCAAATGATTTCTAACTCATGATGCAAGATGAATGATTAAGATGTGAAAATCCCTAAAATCCCCACAATTTGGATCCGGATAGAATCCAAATCCCAAAATATATAGTTACTATTAATTAAATAATTATAATAATTAAGTGGATGTTAAAAGTCAAGGGTAATGCTGCCACTTAGATTTAATGATATTCATCTTCACTTGTAAATAAGAGGTCTTAGGTTCGATTCTCGCCAAAGTCGAATTTGAACCACATTATTATGGATAGCCCAATGTGAGGCTTAGCCCACTCCCCCACCCCCTTAGTGTAAATGTAATGTAAGGGATACTAAATTGGTGGACTAAATAACATGGAAGTTGAGATTGAATTATTATTTAAATATTAATTAACGTGCTTATTTATTATTGGTGATACGTCATTTAGTTTACAAATTTAGTATACATAACAATACTTTAAAAGTCAATGGCAAATAACAGAAACCAAGAGTCAAATCAAAGCCATTATTTTGTAGGACAAGGATTGTTTGCCCTCCTGTTTTGTGTGATCACGGTTAAACCACGTCAACATTTTATATTGTTTTTTTAATAGAGATAATAAGACAAAAATGAATAGTAATATAAAATATAGACATGACTTAACTGTGACCACACAAATAGGAGAGCATGGAAGGGCACCAAAAGTGGAAGGACAGACAATCCTTGTCCTATTTTGTAGACCAATGTGATGTCAAACTTAGTTGTCGTTATTTGCTCAGCTCCATATGGAATAAGTTCCTCTGTTGTGGGCTTACGTATAGAATAACTTGAATATGAACCTAAATAAATTTATGAAAAAAAAAAAAAAAAAGAAGGGAAGAATAAAAAGTCCTATGATAATTTTTTGTGAGGTGTGTGGGGGATTGGAGGTAATTAATTTAAAAAACATTAACCTTTGCTTGTTACTCATTCCTTTGCATGTGACAAAGTAATCGCGGATATATTAAGCTAATTAATGTATAAGGAATAATGGCATATGATTCCCTGCAGTTCCTAAATTCAGTTCCTCCAATATTCTGAAAAGTGATTATTTGTGAAAGGGAGAGATTTTTTTAATTTATCAAGAACACGGAGTAGTACGTCATATGTTATTATACAAGTAGAAGAATTTTTTTTTTCAAGTGTTCATTCATTTGTATTATGACGTATGACTATGTGTTTGTATTCTGGTCACACTGAAAAATTTCTCCAAATAAGGGGTACCAACAAGCAATTGGAAAAGAAATTATTAGGTCAAGTCAGACTCAGTGTCTTAAAATTGATTCTAAAATGACTGGTGGTCAAATAAATGATTGTGATTTAGGAGAAGGTCTTGGGTGTGACACCCGTAGATGGTGGGCAATGGGAATGGTCTAATGGGAGTGACGTCATTACATGAGGTAGTGGTGGGTCTCATGTAGGAGGTGGTGTGCCATGAGGAGGGGAACAAATCATCTCCCGATCTTTGCCTCCGGACCCATTAGTCTTGTCTTGACCATTAAATTTAATCGTGCGACCGTGCAACTAGAGGGGAAAGGGTGCAGGCTATGAGAGAGGAAGGAGGAGGGGATGGGGGTGGGATGACGGCAGCCATGGCAGTGGGTGACTGGTGAGTGGAAAGTTTGCTATAATATAGAGTTTTTTTTGGTGAGTAAAAGGTTGAGGAGCTTGGCTGTCAAACTCCTTATCCTTGCGTACTTGGTCAGTGGTGGCAATTTGCTGGAAACCACCTCAAGCGATAAGGGGAGAGAATTCGGGGATGTGTGAAAGAATGGTTTGTGTCTTTGTCTTATGTGAAAAGTAGAGAAATTTCATGGTTGTACGTTCTATTCTTAAAGGACTACGATTTGATGATCCCCAGGATCCAAATAGGATTGGTCCGGAGAGGATCCTCTTCTGTGGGTGGGTGGTGGTGTTGGGGGGGGGGGGGGGTAGTTTATTTGCGTCTAGGGTCCGCACGGAGACGTGATCTGGGTGCCGGACCCCAAAAATTCTCTTAATTTAGGGATCAGTTTTGCAAGTTGAGATGCCAGTCGTAGTTTTTATGTGGTTGAGCATATGCCTCTATTTTAAGTCATTTTTTTCTTCGTAATTATCACTAACTCAACAGGATTAGTAAGATGCTCAATACTGCATGTTATAATTGCATGTGATTAACTCACAAATCAAATTAATAACACATCATAATGTCACCCAAAACCGTGCATATATACCTGTGCGTGGGATTAGAAAGACCAGGTCTTGCATTTGCAGTCGGCTAACTAGTAATTTTTAGTCCGGCCAAATCAATTCACTCATTGAAATTTCTACTCCCATATACATTTGGTAAGATCATGACAAAATTGCAGCTCTTTCAGTATTGATTGAGAATCTGAGACTGATAATCTGAATCAGATTCACTTGCCCCTTTTGTTAATTACTACTTTTTAATATAAACAAATGTCTATTTAAATTTTCCTGGCTCTCAAAAATGTAGATTGCCGTACCGAAGCTATTAACTGGTCCTTAAAAAAAAAATACTTTTTAAATATAATTGTTATTATTTGGTTTGGTATCCTTAAAGGTTCATACATAACATGGATCATTGAAACAATATTTAAACTAGAGAATATTTTTTGTTGTTAATTGTCAACAGATACTTTATTGGGAGTAGGAGCCTACACTTTCGAAAAATTATTTGCACTTTTTTAACGTAAAAGACAAAGAAATGAATGATTGCAGAAGACTTTTTGTGCTAATAATAATTTTTTGTACTTTTAATGGTGCAATATGTAAATGTATAAAACCCCCCTTCTTCCAATTAAGGCGTTCATGCAATCGAAAAATACCTCTCAAGCTGAGAGACTCCCCTTAATTCATCAAGTAAAATAAATAGAGAGGGTATAGGTTTGTTATGAATGACTTTGTATCGAGTACAGATAATAATATCAGCAAAAAATTATTCTCCCGTGCTTTTAATATAAAAAGATATAAGAAATTGTATTATGCAGTGTTTCACCTCAGAATGTATAAGTAGCTCATCATGGTAACATTTCTGTTTTGAATAAAACAAAGAAAAATTTGGATCTCTGGTAGAATAAATCTTCTTTCAATTACTTTATATCCGATTACAAAATACAGAAATGGTCGGAAAATACAGAAAAAGGTGGGATGTTTGTTCCTGACCCTGCATTTTGCTACTTCCTATGAAATTCAGCATCACTTGTACATGTAAAATAGTACAGTTGAATTTCAGTGGGAGTGCAAAAAAAAAACACTCCTGAAGGTAGTCCTCCTGCTAATAGAAATATTCTCAAAAAATATATATATATTTAAACGCCATGAAATCTTGTGAACCCACAGCTAAATAAGGTGACAAAAATAATAAAAATGTAAAATAAAAAAAAAAGAAAAAAAGAAAAGAAAAAAAATGAGAGAGATTAAACTAAACTAACCTAAACATGTGAGCTATTATTATAATTATTATTTTCGTAATTTAACTCGCCTAATAAACATAGACAATCTTCCTTGATTTCAGCTTTGCTTGGCTTGTCCTCCTCAACACCTTCGCTGTCACCAACTGCCACCTTAGCAGCAGCAGCACCGGTCAGCTCTTTGGCCTTCCGAACTTCAAGCTCCCAATCAGTACGACCCAAAACCACCAACATGGTCAAAGCGCAGCTGCCTTCCGCCGCCAAGAGGCCGAGCCACAGCCCCTGAAAATCAAACCCAAGAAAGAATCCCAACCCCACGGCCACCGGCATTCCGACAAGATAAAAGCACCCCAAGTTTATATTTGCTCCCACTTTCGGCCTCGCAGTGCCTCTCAGAACTCCGCACCCCGTCGTCTGCGGGCAGTTTCCGAGCTCGCAGAGCCCGATTATCGGCAATACCATCGATGTCAACGCTACAATCTCTTTATCTTGTGTGAACATGCTTGCCCAAATGTTCCTCACCATCGTTGCAAACACCAGAGCTGAAAGGCCTAGCACAAAGCTGCAGCAGAGCCCTACAATGGCTGCTAGTTTCGCTTTTTTCGGGTTGTTGGCGCCGATTTCATTGCCGACTCTGGTGGACACACTGAAGCTTAAGGAAGAAGGAAATATGTAGATTAAGGCGGTCGTTTGAATTAAAACTCCCATTGAAGCAACGGTGGCTCTCGGATTTATTAACAATCCACAGAGCAAGATCATGATCTCATACCACCACCATTCTAAACACACAGAAATGCAGCTGGGCACTGCTAAATTTAGAAGAGTTCTCCATTCTCTGAAACACTCCATTGATATCCCTCCCCAGGTTTTTTGGTAGACCCCAGAGACGATGATGTATACGATCAGGGAAGCTACGAGGTTGAAGTTAGACCAAACCCCACTAAGAGCAACACCTTTGATTCCCAAATCGAGGTGCGAAACGAGAAAATAGTTTATGGGAATGTGGAGGATGATCGCCAGAGTTGCACACAATGAGAGAGGCAGAGTGATGGATTGACTTCTGAGGTAAATTCTCAGAGGGTGGAGAAAAGATTGAGCGAGAAGATCAGGGAGAGAACAGAGGAGGTACAACTGAGCTTCGGCAGCGATCGCTTCGTCCTGGCCGCAGATGAGGAGGATTTTCTTCATGTTCAGCCAGAGAAGAGAAATGGGTAAGGATGTAAATAGTAAGAGGAGGACCGTCCTCTGCAAAGAGAGGCCGAGCAGAGTGTGTTTTCTGGCGCCAAAAGCTTGGCCGCAGATAGGTTCCATTCCCATGGCGAGGCCGGAGAGTATGGAGTAACCGGTGATGTTGGCGAAGCCCACAGCAAGGGACCCGCCCGCTAAGGCAAGCTCGCCAAGGCGGCCGAGGAAGAGCATGGAGATGATTGACCTTGAGTAAAGCAACAGGCCGGTAAGTATCATTGGGAAAGCTATGACAGCTATGGAATTGGCTTCTTTTAAAGCCAAATAAAAATGGGATTCTTTGTGGGGATTGAACTGTAACTTCGGTACTTGTTCTGGTTGGGATGTTATGGTTTTGGAGATCAATGGGGAAGTTAGGGTTTTGGGGTCCTCCGAGTCTTTGATGGAGACAAGGTAATGGTGGTCTGTGTTGCCATTGCAGCAGAGAGGAGACGTCACTTTGCACATTGTTACTATATGTTTTTACAGGATCAACTTTGTAAGTTATTTTCTAGAGGGAGAGAGGAAAGAGAGGGAGATAGGGAGAGAGTTGAGAGAGATTGTTGGGGATTTTGAGAGGGGGAGGTGCCGGGGTTTTTATAGGGGTTTAGAAGCTTAGAATTTAGTGGGGCACTCTGTTTTTTTTGGGAGGGACTAGAGTGTCTTCGTGATGACCGGCCAGAAAAAACATAGTGAGCGATGGGTGTAAATCCACTTTCAGATTCTCAAAAACTCAGATTTGACATACATATTTAATTATATGTTTAAAAATTTGGTAACAAGGGGCTCAAAGCCTGAGCAAAACGCTAAACAAAGAAGTTGTTGGTATACTGTTGGTTAACTATCAAGGGGTGGCAGTGATTCAAGACAAATTATATGTTTGTATTTCACATAACACATTTTTCTTAATACTGACACAATAGTCGTCAAGAAGTGGCATAACAAAATCACCAGTTTGTCCTTTATTTAAATGAAAGAAAAGGACAAAAAAAAAATTGTTGGTTTGTTTCTTTTTCTATATTTATCTTCCAACCTTGAATTAAAACTTTTTTGAAGGTTACGAAAGGGGTCAAAAACCAGAGACGGAGTTTGCATATATAATTAGATTAGAACCATTTAAATAAAGATTAACAATTGGATTAATATAATAAGAGTCAAAGTTCCTAACGTCTTTTTATTTCTTTCGGTTAAGAGGCCATTAGAGACAAAGAGGTAGGACAAAATTTGCTGTTGGATAGTCTTGGCCAGTTATACAGTGGATTCAATTTTTACTATACTTCCAAAAAGCCCATCAGCATGGGCCCACCTTCCTATCCTGTCTTCTTTGATACAAGGAAATTGCAGAAGATTAATGGGATTAATCCAAATACTAATACCATTTGCCAGCCTAAAAATGGTTTGCTTCATAGATATTACATAAACGGCTCAAACCTTGCACTTTTGGGTTTTAACTCTTTTGTTGTTAATCTTATGGATAGGTCCAAAGAAGCCGTCACTGTTCGTCCACGTTTGCAACAACAAATGGAGAAACTTACTTACCTATGTTTGGAATGTTGTGCAGAAACCGTTCAAATTAATCATGGACTATCATGTACTTTTATTGTTTTTAAATGACAATGCATGATTAATTAGAGACAACGTCTTTGTGGCATTCCGATTGCATGGAAGTCATTCCGCAACATGAATTGTGAGAAATGAGCATGCATTAGTCTATTCAAGGATGTTTCAACCGCAGCCATGCACATTAGAATACCAGAATGGTCTCCATACGGAGCCTTTTGATTCAACAGAGGCATGAGACAATTGTTGTGTTTTCAACTTCAAGCATGCACTGCACCCCATTTGGTTCAACTCCATCATAGGTCGAAAACCAGTGGGAAAAGTCAGCTATCGTTGAGATTTTATTCTTTGAAGGTCGTTTTTTTAATTGTGCTTCTCTTCTGGTAATCCGTTGAAAGTACTTTTGCTAGAAGTCACTCCATGAAACTGAAGCTGCCAAGTGGATTGAGTCATGGCTCCACACGCTTGGCTTAGTGGGTTGGTCTATCCTCTCTCTCTTAACTGTTTTACAAAATATTCAAGAGGTTCGAATCGGGTCTTTAGTAAAAGGGCAGAATCATGAAGCCCATTGGAAGCAGAAATTTTTTAAATATCTGAAAAATAATTCAATTAATATACTATTTTAAGTATTATAATAAAAATAAAAAAATTACGCGTAAAGTCTAAGGACCCTTTCTGTTTCGTCGGTCAAATTATATATAGACAATTTGTTTCATCGGTCCAATTATATTGAAAAGTTTTAGTCATATAAACGTGTAGAAAATTCCACACACAAATAAACAGAAGTCTGCATGCTTTGATATTGGTTCACTTCACAAATTATGTACTTTGACTCAATTAACCGAGTTCTTCTTGCTCTCTTTTGGACAATTCGTCTTTTTAACCTAACCAAATTGCTCATGTCCGACCTCCTTTGTGGTTTAATGGGTTTAGAATGCTTTTTTTCTGTCACTTTCACAGTAGTCCAAGTTGGGAGAAGGAATATAAAGAAGAGACATACATGCCGACTAGATAATAAATAGATATGGCAAAAAAAGTCACAATCATAGTAACCGCGTGAATACATATATGCCAAAAGAAGGAAAACACCATGTGTCCCTTTGGACTCTTAACATCTGTAAGAAAAACAATACTTTGAATAAAGGGGTTTAAGGGGCATATATCATTAATAAATAAATAAAAGTATGATATTCTGCATTATGTTTGATGATTTTCAACAACCACGTTATCTTTTAACGTCTAAATTATTAGATAAAAAATTACATTATAATCGTCAAAGTTTACAATTCAAGATTAGATAATACGTAAAGCTTGTAGCTAGTAACACACAATGACGTTTTTATGTGATAAGGTAGATGTATACATAGTGAATGTTTAATGACTGTCAAGGTAGGCTGTAAAGCGTGAAGATAATCACATTACTATTAAGCGTGAACTTGATCACATTATAATATCATCGTTTAAACCTTTTTAAGCAAAACTAACATACTTATTGACATACACACTATAAAGATTATGTCCCGGAGTCCAACTAGAATTATTCGAAGTGTTTGTCTACTTTTTATTTATTTTTAGTTTTGTTGTCATACCATTCAGAAAAACATTTGAAAGACTGCTTTGTTCTTGACTGCAAATTAACCTACACGTATTTTCTGTTTGAGCTTACTCTACACGAATAATCTGGATTCTCTTTACGAGGATTTCGGAAATTTTTCAATTACGTCTGTTCATCGTATATTGTACAGTCAATTTTCGTCAGATATGTTTATATTGAATTTTAAATACAAAAGAATTACAATATTTCTAATTGTACGATATACAATGAACGAATATGATTCAAAGGTCTTCAAAATCTTTACAAAAGGAATCTGAAAAGAATCCTCATTCACTTTACACAGATACATGCCTCCACGGTGGAACTCAATGAATCCAATTCATCAAAGCAAACTGTACGCCGTAATGATGACAGTGCATGCTAACTAAGTCCACAACCGACTAAATATTTTTGAGCTGAAAAATTGGATGCAAAGTTTTAGAACACAACGAATCTTTGCCGACAAAAGACATGACCGCCAAAATTTATTCGGCTTGCAAAAGGAACTTGGACTATATGGTTAACATCAACATTTCTCATGAATAACAACAAAATGGAGAGTTCGATGAATGAGAAAGTTACATAGGTTCTTTTTAAATTGGGGCTCTTTATAAATTTTTTGTCATCTTATATTTTTAACACAATATTTTATAATATTAATAAGCGAATTGACATTAAATTATAAGCTGAGAGGTCTATAAAAAGTCTCACTTGTCATTTTGAGAGTGTCTCTTTAGCATTTCTCTCGATCAATTGTCACAAAATTTCTATTTAACTGCTTTATAATTTTGTTATGACTATGGAGCAATGGTTTTTATTTTTTGTTGTTTTTTTTTATATAAACAAATGAAGCACATGCATAAACACACACACACACACACATATATAGGGATAGGATCAAGAGACAAAGATTTTTACACTCTATTGTAACCTTTAGATCTTATAACATTGAACGGTATTGATTAAGAGTTATGTGGAGACTTTTAAACATTAAATGAATTGAATGATGATGTGGAATATATAAATTAAAAAAAATCTGATAAAATAAAATTGATTTAAAAAAAAAAAAAAAAAAAAAAAAAAAAAAAAAGAGGTTAAAATCTGATACAGAAAAAATGTGAAACTGAAACTGCAGTGAAGAAGCCTAAATCCAAAATCTTCATTCTTGGATGTTGGGTTGTTAGAGTTTTGCTATGGATGTGACAAAGTGATTGAGTTGTTCGTCTAAACTTAGAGCGTTTAAACCTTCTCAAGATAAAACCCTAATTTTTTTTTTTTCTTAAAGCAAAACTCTCTCTTTGCTTAGGAGCATGTTTTATTGTTCACTAGGGTTCATTGTTTGAAAAGGCAAGAAGAGTTTACATTTTCAGACAAAAAAAGGAGGAGAAGACTTTACATCCAAGGCATGGAGTTGCAGGCCTCATCAGCAAACAAAGAGGAAGATGGAGGTTAAAGTATTTGTAGGGTTCTGTTCAAAAAAAAAAAAAAATCTATTATTTTATCAGAGAGAGAGAGAGAGAGATATATATATTAAATTAAATTAGTGTTTTCCTTATTAGTTATAATCCAAATCATCATCCAATTCATTTAATGTTTAAAAGTCTTCACATAACTCTTAATCAACACCGTTGGATGTTATAAGATCTAAAGGTTACAAAAGAGTGTAAAAATCTTTGTCCCTTGATCCTATCCCACACACACACACACACATATCGATCTATGTATCTACACATATGGGTAAACTGCCAGTTGACTGCTTTAACTATTACTCATGTTAAAATTGACGTCTTGAACTATTTTTTTGGTAAATTAATCCACTGAACTATTTGAAATCAGTCAATTGATCTCTTGTCAGTAAATTTCATCTACTATTTGGTCAAATTCAAAGAAAAATTAGTATTCTTTCTTTCATCCATTCTTATTTGTCAACTATAACCAACAATGAACTTATGACATTTGAAAAAAAAATAATGTGTAATGACGATGTGAGATGGTCTGTTATGTAAATGTTTGGTTTTTTTTATGTTTCTCATTATGCTATATGTTTTTGAATTATTATGTGTTCATGTGTCAAAATTTTATTAGTGGTTATAGCTGATAAGTAACAATTGATGATGAAATAACTAATTTACCCTTGAATTTGATCGAATTGATTTTGCAATCTGACGGCAAGGAGTTAATTGACTGATTTTAAATAGTTCAGGAGGCTAATTTACCAAAAAAAAAAAAAAAAAAACTTTAAGAGGTCAATTTGAATTAGAATGATAGCCATAATTTACAATATATATATATATATATCAACTGTGTCGTATTTCTTTTACTTTTTTTACCATTAATTGTACTTCCAAAGTAGCTGCTAAGGTATCAATCAGAATCAAACAATTCGAAGACACTAACACGGATCCGTTATTGCGGACAATAAAAT